GGTAAAATGAGGACCCGGATTGTTGTTGGGGGCAATATGATGACTCTGTAAACTGCTTAGAGAGGGCTGAAAGCCCTATGAAGCGGTATATAAGTAACTGCTATTGCTATTTCTTAACCTCAGTAACTTTTAAGATGTATGGATTTCAGCTCCCAGAACTGGTGGCTGGGGAATTCTAGGAGTTGAAGTGCACACATCTTAAAGTTGCTGATGTTAAGAAATGTGGGAATATAGGTAGTCCTCGACTTATAACAGTTCATTTAGTGACTGTTTGAAGTTACAATGGTTCTGAAAAATGTGACAGGACCATTTCTCACCCTTACCACCATTGCAGCATTCCCATGGTTACGTGATCAAAATTCACATGCTTGGCAACTGACACATATTTATGACTGTTGTAGTATCTTGGAGTCATGTGATTACCTTTTGTGACCTTCTGACAAGCAAAGTCAATGGGGAAGCCAGATTCACTTAACAACCATGTTACTAAGTTAATAGCTGCAATGATTCACTCAAGAGCTGTTAAATGTTGTAAAAAGGGGTAAAATTCTGTTAACAAACCCCTCAGCAACATAAATTTTGGTCTCAACTGTGGTTGTAAGGAGTGTCTGTAGTGGTTTTTCACTTATTCCAATCAAGGACAGACTCAAGATATATAAAATCTGCTCAACTTACTCATTACTGTTAAGTCGGTGACTGAGAACAAGAAGTGGGCATCAGCACCCAGGAAGTACATTTTATACTAGTATAATTTCTGTCAGCTGAAGGACAAAATGAACATAATTTTTTAACTCAGCATTGGGGAGGAAGATCAATCAGGCTGGATCTCTAGAGAATTGGGATGAACAGAAAGCAACATTCTTGGTGGAGGACTTGGGGCACTGCTGAAGATGCTACCAGGCCAGGGCATATACATTGCATGTTTGGGGGATAGGCATAGGCAATAGGGTTAGCAAATAAATATTTGAGGAGTGATGCAGAACATCACAGTACATGAAGTCCTTGACTTAGGACCCCAAACGAGCCCAAAATTTATGTTGTTAAGTGAAACATTTATTCAGTGAGTTTCACCCTGTTTCACCTTTCCTGCCACAGTTGTTAAGGGAAATCACTGCAGTTGATAAGTTAGTAACCCGGTTGTTAAATGTATCTGGCTTCCCTGTTGTCTTTGTCAGAAGGTTGCAAAAGATGCAAGGTGGCGC